GGTTTTGGGGTCCTGCAGGCCTGTGGAAGGGGCATCAGCCAGTCTCCCGCGGTGTGAAACGATGGGAGCGTGGCAGAGGGAGTGGGTTGGGTGAGGGGCGAAGCATGTACGCATGGAGGGTCTCGAGGGGGAGCTGCACCCTCAGAGTTCTCTGTGAGGCCATGCACGGGACGTCCACGGAGAGGAGGCAAGAGGGTGAGGTGAGGCTTGGAAGCGCCGAGCATTCTGCCGCGTCCCGTGCACAGTTTGGTGAGGGCCGGGGTGGACCCTGCCGAGCTTCTCTTCTCGCCATGGTGCACACCCTCCCTCTTGTTGGGTTTTTTCCACTAATGCTTAGCAGTCCTGTCACAGGCACAGAGAGGGACCTCAGACGAGCTGGACCCAGAGAATAAACACATAAGGAAATGGGGGGCATCAGGAGTGAGACCCAAAAAATGCCAACATTGGAATTATCTGTGTTTAAAGATCTATGAGGCAGGGCACCTGGCTGGCTCCAGCGGTGGAGTGTGTGGCTTCTCATCTCGAGGTTGTGAGTTCGAGCCCTGCATAAAAACTAAAATAAAATCTTGGGGTGCCTGGGTGGCTCAGTCATTCAGCATTTGCCTTCAGCTCAGGTCATGATCCCATGCAGGGATCGAGCCCTGAGTCGGGCTCCCTGCACAGCAGGAAGCCTGCTTCTCCATCTGCCCTCTGCTGCTCCCCCTGCTTGTGTGTTCTCTCTCTGTCTCTTTCTTTTTCCAATAAATAATTTTTTAAAAAAGTCTTAAAAACGATTATACAAAATAGACTGTGTTTCTACCTACCAGCACCGGTCAAAGAATTTATAAAGTCAACAATGCAAATATTGAACACCGTGAGGCAGGCTGGGGTGAGGGACAGGAGTGTTGCTGTGAACAGCTCCAGGGAGAGCAAGTCGGGGTCCTCTGGACAGTCAGGCGCCCTCCTGGGACCCAGCGTCCCGCCACTGCAGGCTTCTGTGTCCTCTGCTCATGGATAAGGGTGTGCACAGCTTGGTTGTGAGAGATGGTTCCAGATGGCGAAAAACTGTCAGCAGAATTGATCAGAAACTTGTGACCCAGGCGCCTAACTGGCTCTGTCGCTGGAGCATGAAACTCTTGATCTTGGGTTCATGAGTCTGAGCCCACTTGGGTGCAGAGGTTACACACATACACACACACACAGACTAAGGCAAACCAAAACAAAATACCGTGTCAAGGGTTTACCCGGGCAGCACTGGGGGCCTGCAGCTTGAGTGGGCAGACAGCAGCGGCAAGTGTCAGTGGCAAGTGAAAGAAACCAAACACACAAAAAATTTAGTTTTATTGGATAAATATAGGATTAAAAAATAGACACACTTAAATGAATTTGTTTAGTTATCTTCCAAGACGGTAGAACTTTAACGGCAAGAAAGCCATTGCCTTTCAAGTCAGGACAGTGGTGTCTTCAGGGCGAACAGAGGTGTGCTGTGGGCATGTCTCCGATGCTGCCTTGTTTTATTTCTTGGTGAGTGTCGGCACACCAGTGTTGGATCATAATTGCTCATTAAACTTATTTCTAAGTTCTATACATTTCTCTGTATACGTTATAGGTCCTGATTTTTTTTTTTTTTTTTTAGATTTTATTTATCTGACGGAGACACAGCGAGAGAGGGAACACACGCATGGGGGAGTGGGAGAGGGAGAAGCAGGGAGCCCGATGCAGGGCCTGATCCCAGAACCCTGGAATCATGACCTGAGCTGAAGGCAGAGGCTTAACCCACTGAGCCCCCCAGGTGCCCCATGGTTTTGTCTTTTAAAAGCTTAAACATACCATTTACAACAGTGTGTGTGTGTGAAGCCTGGGTATAAGTCTGACAAAAGGTGTACACAGCCTTTAACGGAGACCTGGACGAGTGGGTACGCCATGGTTTGGGTGGAACGTGCGTGCGATCCTCCTGGGGTAGACAGCAGAGTCTGCAGGGAAGGGTGAGCAGCCAAGACACCCGTGAGGAGGAAGCCGAGTGGGACTCTGGGTCGTCCGCAATTGTCCTGGGGAGGACGACAGGGTGCTGGGCAGGTTCATACTGACCCACAGAGCTGGTGGCTCACTCAGACATGGGTCTGTTGTGGACGGAGGGGTGCCGTGTGCAGACCGTCGTGAGAGGCCCAGTGATCTGCGTGAGGAAAATGAAATTTCATACAGTCAATGAAGGGCCAGATACAGAAACGACTTCAAGAGGAGGCAAAGCTGTAAAGCTGTGACAAGTCCATTTCAGAGAGGAGTTTTGACTTAGAATAGGGAAGAGTTTTTAAACAGGGTACAAAGAGGAGAAATCAGGGAAGAAAAGCAAAGATGTATGAGTTCAACATTAAAATCAAGACTTTCCACCAAAAAAGCAGAAGGCACCATGGGGTGAAAACACATTGTGAAACTTGGAAAACAGGGAAGGTGGGAAGGAGAAAAAGTATGGGTTTCCTACTGCCCGCACTGTGACTGGTCTGATGCGGGGAGCACCCGGGACAGGGTCCTGGCGAGGAGGCGCGGGGGTGGGGGGTGGGGGCAGGTCCTCAGTGGGAGAGGCCAGAGACGTCGCACGGGTGCCTGAAGCGGCTCCCCATGAGGCCCATCCTCACCATGGGGGGCGCCCACGGCTGATGGTGGGGTGATGCCGTGGCCGCGGCTGCACACACCTGCCAGGCTTGAGCACGGCGCCCTGAGCGGATCTCTGCCTGTGTCCTGTGGGCAATAACAGCGTCCCTTTAACTGTTCTGTCCCCGTGAAGCTGTTTCTGTTCCAGGCTGAGTTTCCCCCGTGCTGTGCGTGTTGATGGCGCGTGGAGGCGGGGCCTTTGGGGGGACGAGATGTTGAGGGTGGAGCCCCGTGATGGGACCGGCACCCCAGGAGAGCACGCCGCCCCGTCTGCTGTCTGTGTGAGGGCGCAGGGACCAGCACTGTCTGCTGTCGGAACAGTTCTCACCAGAACCCGGCCAGCACCTTGAACTCCCACATCCGGCTTCCGGACTGCAAACAAGAAATGTCTGTTTATAAACTGCCCAGTCTGCCGTGTTCTGTTAGAGCAGCCTTGATGGCCTAAGACTGTTTCAAAACGAAAAGTTAAAACTTTGAAGGTGAAAGGGGGTGATCGGTAGTGTCCAGTGGCCCAGTTCCATTGAGGACTGAGGAGTGCGGTTGTGGGGGCCCCCACTGGCCCCCTCAGAGAGGTCGGGGTGTGGCCTGTGGGCCAGGCAGGTGGGGAGGGCCACGGGGGAGGGAAAGGGTCGCTCTGTGCCGAGTCCCAGGGGCTATGGGACAGGACTCACCCCACCGTCCGCTGGCTTCCTCCTAGCCCCTGACCCCGACTCCCCCACCCCCTCACTGCCTGGCACCCACAGGACGGCTCTGCCAGCATCCAGACGGCTGCTGTTTATCCTCGGGTCAGACAGAACAGCCCACACTGTGGCCTTGCCACCTTCCCTGCCTGCTCCTGGCTCCTCTTGGCTTCCCAGGCGAGGTCCGGCTGGGAGAGATGTCTGCTTACTCCTCCCCACACTCTTTCTCTCGAAACCTGCTGTTCAAGAATTTGCCTGCACCGCCTGGCCCTTCTCGGGGTCGGTGGGCCCCGTAGGCAGGTCCTGCACCTCGTCCTGCCGCGCTCCCTTCTCTCCCTGTCTCTCCTGCACTCTCCATGGTTCCACATGCCGCCACTGCCCCTCTGCTGTCTGCCCACACAAGGGCACACTGTCCCACAGACTGGGTGCACGTGGTGTCCATCCACCTGGCCTTGCCATGCTGTGCCGGGTGCCCACGTCCAGGTGCTGGCTGAGACAGACCCAGGACTCACCCAGCCCTCCTCACCGGCTTTTGGAAGCATCTGTTGACCCCGAAGGAGGCCCCAGAGCCTCCGAGCTGCTCGGAGCGGACAGCAAGTAATGGGGCTGGTCCTTCTCCCTCCAGCGCAGGGCATCTGGCCTTGAACAGGTCGGCTCTCAGAGGCCCGCGCTGTGATGCTGACAGGCGTGCCCATCACGCGGTTCCCGAACAGTAGAAGGGCTGACAGACACAGAGCCCCCACACTGCACAGCCGTCTGCGGCATTTCAAGGGTTGTTATTATGCGGAAACTTGGGAGCAGAATAAAAATATGCTACATGTCAGCCAGACACACCCTGATATCAGATATATTGACATTAAGAGTGGCTTGTTCTGAATAGCTGTAGTTTTCATTACGGAACGGTGGGACAAGGTGCCTGGCTGACGTGGTTGTTTGGGCACTGGGTCATGGCCTCAGGGTCATGAGATCCAGCCCTGCGTGGGGCTCTACAGTCAGTGGGGAACCTGCTTGGGATTCTCCCTCTCCCTCTGCCCTTCTTGCCCACTCAGGCTCTCTCTGTATCTCTCTCTAAAATACATGAATAAAATCTTCAAAAGCAAACAGTGTCCTTAAGGTGGGGGACGCTCTGGGAGCCCCAGGGAGAACATGGATCCAGAGCACAAGTCACACCCCAGCCCGGCCGGGCTTCTCAGCTGGGCCTGGTATAAAGATGGGGCACCCATTCCTGCTGCAGGTGAACGGCCAGTGGTGACCCGTGGTGGCCAGGCCAACTGAGAGCAGCCAGGGCCCCCTGCCAGACGCAGCCAAGCTGTGCACAGTTTCCTCTGAGGACAGGGAGCTAGAGCCTTGGAGGCCAGCGGGGAGGTGCTTGGCCAAGTGTCCATGGAGAGCTCCCGGGCAATAACAAGCTTCTGGAGGGTCAGGCATGGGGCCTCAGTCTGGCTTGGTGCTCTGGTGTGAGGGACAACAGATGGGGGACAGGGTCTACAAACACCGCCCTCCGCAAGGAGGGGGCCTGCGCAGCGGCTGGGGCACGCAGGGCACAGCACGTGATGGAGAGGCCCCGTGCCTCGGGGTGGGCAGTGGGCTGGCGGTTGGAGGCAGCCTCCTTGTCCCGGGCCAGGCTGCGGGAGCCCCTTGTTCCTGAAGCCAGCGCCCGAGCCTGCTAACGCTCCTCTTGCTCTTTCTCAGGCTGGAGTGGGTGGAGATCATTGAGCCACGCACCCGTGAGCGCATGTACGCCAACCTGGTCACCGGCGAGTGCGTGTGGGACCCGCCCGCCGGTGTCCGCATCAAGCGCACCAGCGAGAACCAGTGGTGGGAGCTGTTTGACCCCAACACATCCCGCTTCTACTACTACAACGCCAGCACGCAGCGCACCGTGTGGCACCGGCCGCAGGACTGCGACATCATCCCCCTCGCCAAGTTGCAGACCCTGAAGCAGAACACCGAGTCCCCCCGCGCCTCAGCGGAGAACAGCCCCGGGAGGGCCAGCAGCGTCAGCCGTGAGGGCAGCACCAGCTCGTCCCTGGAGCCTGAGCTGGACGCTGGCGAGAAGGCACAGGAGCCTTTGGGGAGGGCCAGCCGGCAGGCCGCCTTTGGGGCTCTGAAGGACGAGAGCGGCAGGTAAGGCGGGCAGGTGGGCCCGGGCATGCCTGCCGGTGGGCAGTTGGGGGGGTTGCGGCGAGCCTCATGCCAGCAGTTGCCTGTACTGGCTCCCACCCTTGCCCTCCAGACGCCCTTGCTGCCATTTGGCAAGAGCCTGTGTTGGTGATAAGGGAGGCCGGGATCTGCCCCCCTGCTGGGCAGCATCTGGGCTCACCTTTCCCAGGCAGGGCTGTTGGGAGGCACCTGGGGCAGGAGGTTTTCTGGCTTGTGACCATGAAATCATTTGGTTCTGTCCACTGTGGAAGGCATGGATGTGGGGTTAGGACCCACTGGAGGCAGACTCCCAGAAGCACCCTGTACCCCAGTGCCCACACCTGACTGGCAAGGCTCTGGGCCCAGTGCTCAGGGAGCCCAATCCAGCAGGATTGGCTGGTCAGGAAGGTGCTAGGACAGTATGCCCTGGGGACAGGAGGAGACAAGAAGACCGGGAGGATGGAGGGACACGAAAATTGGCCTCGGAGGCCAGGCAGGGTGGTAAGGATGGGGTGTGAGTGGAGATGCTGGGTTTCACTGGGGGACAGTGGGAACCACAAAGTGATCTAACCTGGTTGATGCTGCAGGTCCATTTCGCTCCTGTGAAGGGGGCATCCAAGGGGCCCAGGATGGAAATGGGTGGGTGGCGCCATCGGTGGGAGCTGGACCCGCTGTTCTGCGTCGAACGGTTGGATGGGCATACTGGAAGGTTTGGGGTGCTGTGGGGGGGCTGGACAGCCGTCTCTGGCGCTCCTAAGTGGGATGAGGAAGGTGGGGCACGTCCATGGGTCAGATCAGTGGGAATGCTGGCGCTGGGGAGGCAAAAATCTCCTTCTTTCCTCCTGGGATTCTTCCGGCTGGGTTTGGAATTCAGTTGACATAAGTCAGATTAACAGGAGGAAGAGAACAGTTTCATTTCATGCATAGAAGTCCAGTAATGAAATTGAGACCCCAAGAAATGGCCAACACAGGTAGTTTTTATATTTTTTAGACAAGGAGACAGTGAATTAGTGAGGAAACGGCAGGTTAAAGAGAGCAGACCTTTGGGAGCTTTATTTAGGAGGAACTTTGCGCAGAGTCTGTACTGAGGTGATGTTAACAAGGTCTCTTTGTCCAGCTCACTCAGTGAGGAAGCACCTAACTCTGGTGAGAAGGGACACTTTTTTTTTTTTTTTTAAGATTTTTATTTATTTATTTAACTGACAGAGACAGTGAGGGAGGGAACACAAGCAGGGGCAGCAGCAGAGGGAGAAGCAGACTCCCTGCTGAGCAGAGAGCCCGATGTGGTACTCGATCCCAGGACGCCAGGATCATGACCTGAGCCGAAGGTAGACGCTTAATGACTGAGCCCCCCAGGCGCCCGAGAAGTGTGTCTTTTTACCTCCTGTCCAGGGAGGGTGTTCTCCACGTGGCAGGGTTACTTCAGCTTTCGGGGGACAGAGCGGGGTATGACCTTGCACCAGTGGTTTCCCAAGTGGCTTCTGTGCAACATAATCAGTTTGCTGTGGTGACACATCTTGGGGCGGCCTGCCCTGGGCCTCTACCTTGGACTCTCCGCAGAGGTCAGAAGCCAAAGAGGCGGTGGCCGGGTGGGACTAAGGAGACGCTGGAGGGTCTCCCCCAGAAAGTGGCACTTCCCCTGGTGAGGTTGAGGAGCTCCCGGGGTGAGCGCCCAGGAGAAAGCAAATGGGTGTGGGCTCTGCCTCTGGCTCCCTGTGGGGCCCCCGCTGTGCCCCCGCCGAGCGGCCCTCCCGCACTCCCGCTGTCGGTCAGCTTCCGCAGCCTCTGGGCTCGCCACACAGAGTCTCCGTTTCATCGGGGTGTGAGGATTTTGAATTCTTTATCCTATTGGTTGCTGACGCATCTCTGTAATTAGGTGGAGAGAGTGGATTCTTTTTAGGGTTCTGTTGGCACATGTGTCTGTCGCCCCCTCTCTCCGGCGGCCCTTCTCTGCTCTGTGCTGTGCTGCCCGGGGCGGGACTGTCCTCTTCCGGAGCCTCGCATGTTCTGTGGGGATGTGGGGTTACTGCATCAGCTCCGGGTCAGGATTTCCAGCACAAGTCCTGTTTGGATTTGGGTTAGAATTGTGCTGAGTTTATGGGTCAGCTCAGGGGAAATGGGCATCTCTGTTACGTTGTCTTTTCCCACGATAAGATGGCGTGCGTTAGCACTTCTCTCCGCAAAGGACTTGTGTGTATATTTTTTTAAAAGATTTATTTATTTATTTAACAGACAGAGATCACAAGTAAGCAGAGAGGCAGGCAGAGAGAGAGAGGGGGAAGCAGGCTCCCCGCTGAGCAGAGAGCCCCATGCGGGACTCGATCCCAGGACCCTGAGATCATGACCTGGGCCGAAGGCAGAGGCTTTAACCCACTAAGCCCCCCAGGCACCCCTTGGACTTGCATATTTTTAAGGCTTATTTCCAGGGGCTGTATCTACTTTATATCCCTTCCTAAAGTCCTGTCTTCTGATCTTTCCTGTTAACATGCACATCGACTCTTAGGTTTCAGTCTTGTTTCTGCCACGTTTGCTGGGCTACTGCCGATCTAGCCCCAGTGCCTGGCCTTGTCCCAGGGCCGAGCCTTTGTGCCTGCTGTCCTGATGATGTGGTGACATTGTCAGGCACAGGAAGTACCCCCTTCTGTTGTCAGGCTTTTGTGAATGGATGTACCGTTTGATCAAGTATATTTGCTAAGTCTATTGATATTGGTGTTGTAGGTTGGCCTGTGACCCCCAGAGATTGGCTGAAGTCCTAACCCCAGGAGCTCAGCATGGGAACTTACTTGGAAATAGGGCTCTTGCAGATGTGATGAGTGAGGTTACACTGGAGAGGGTGGGCCTTAACCAGGTAGGACTGATGTCCTCGTAAGAACAGAGACACAAGGAGAAGACTTATGACAACGGAGGCAGAGATAGAGCCATGTGTCCACAAGCCCTGGGATGCTCAGGACTGCCAGCTCCACCAGCCGCTGGAGAAAGGCCTGGGACAGTTGTCCCCCAGAGCCTCCAGAAGGAGCCAGCCCCGCCCACAGCTGGAGCTTGGACTTCTGTCCTCTGGAGCAGGGACATTCCTGCAATTGGCATTTAATTCTGTGTTCCTTGCATTCCTAAAATACTTGTTCTGTGTGCTTTTCAAAATAGAGATTGCTAACTTTTTTTTAAGATTTTATTTATTTGAGAGAGAGAGAGAGCGTGAGTGTGAGGGAGGGGCAAAGGAAGGGGGAGAGGGAGAAGCAGGCTCCCCACTGAGCAGGGAGCCCAGTGTGGGACTCGACAGGACCCTGTGATCATGACCTGAGCCGAAACCAAGAGTCTGACACACAACTGACTGAGCCACCCAGGCACCCCAAATATTTTCTGGTTTTAATTATGGTTTCTTCTTTGACTGATTTGTAACTTATAAATGTCCTAATTTCTAAAACTATGGGTTATTTTTCATTCTTGTTCTTCATTTTGGTCAGAAAACATTGGGGGGGTGGTTTTTGTTAGTATTGTTTTTGAGATTTGCTTTGTGGCTTAAATCCTGAATTTTGTAAATGGTTTTGTGAATATTTAAAAAATAATTTCTTACCTCTGTTTGTTAGGTCTAAGGTTCTCTGTGTGTTGGTAAGGTCAGATCTCTTGTTATCAGTCAAGTTTCTTACTGATTTTTTGTCTGCCTGGTGTGTCACTTCTGAAGAGGTCGAGTCTCCTGGATTGCTAGGATTCATCTGTTTCTCCTTTTCATCTGTCCGGCACTGCTGCTTCTGTGTTGGAGCTGTGGGTTGGTCACACATGAATTTGGGACTCTTAGGTTTTCCTTGGGAATTAACTGCTTTTGTCATCAAGTAGTTGTCCTGTTTCCCCTCTCGTTGCCTTGAAGTCGGTTTGATATCACGTAACACTGCTGCTTCGACCTCTGAACATGTCTCCCCAAACTACAGTCCTTTCCTTGTACTTTGGGTGTGTTTCTTATAAATAATTGATAGCTGTTGGGCTTTACTGGTCGCCAGTTCTGGACACCTGTCTCTGGGTTGGCAGGACACTTGCTGTTCTGTCTCCTTAGATCACTGACCCAGCAAAGGGATTGGTTGATGGTCTCTGTGTCCTTTGAGGCACACACTCTTCTCTGCTGCCCTCTCCTGCGGTTGTCCACATGCTGCTCACATGCCGTGCACCTGGCATGTGTCTTGCGGTCCACATGTGCTCTCGTCATGTGTGGGTCCTAGGTTGGGGTGCTGCTCTTCTGACTGTGGGGTGGCCCTGCGGCTCCACCACCAGGGGTCTGGGTGACGGTCCTGGGGTCTGTGCGGCTGCCAGAGGGTCCCAGCACCAGGCTTTATTGGAGGGGGGTCTTGCTGGCCCATTCATTTTCATTTCTTTGCCTCTGAGGTTCATTCTCTCTTCATGAGCTCGTTCACCATTTGTTGCTTACATTTTTTTACTCATTTTCCCACTGGAGTTGCAGGTTCATTTTCTGTGTAGTTTGCAGGAGTTCCTGGTACGTTGCTAATATCAATTCCTCATTGATCCTCGTAGATGTTATGGGCGTCCTGTCCTCTGTCACCTGACTGCTTACTGGGCCCTTTGTCCTTGATTTTCATGCAGCCACGTTGATCAGTCTTTTGTCCTTGTGGTTTATGCTTTTAATATTTTGTTTAAAAAGTTCTTCCTTGGCCTACACCCGTTCCCTTGCATGTCCTGCCTTCACCTTACAGTTTTTTGTTTTGTTTTGTTTAAATATATTTATTTATGGACAGAGAGAGAGATCACAAGCAGGCAGAGAGGCAGCCAGAGAGAGAGGTGCAGGCAGGCTCCCCGCTGAGCAGAGAGCCCGTGGCCAGGCTCCATCCCAGGACCCTGAGATCACGACCTGAGCCAAAGGCAGAGGCTTAACCCACTGAGCCACCCAGGCGCCCCCACCTTACAGTTTTATTTTCACACTGAGGCCTGAATCCGTCTGGGGCTACTTTACTAGGGCACTAGGAAGGATTCGCTCTTCATCT